TCCCCTCTTTCATTTCTATTATTAGTGATAGGGAAATTTTTCCTTCTTTCATGTGTCCCCTGGCTTGAAGTTTATGTTTTATTGTTCTTTTCAAAAAACTAACTTTTGATTTCTTTATATATATAAATACATGTATATATATATATGTTTTTTCTTGTTTTAAAATTATTTGATTTCTACTCTATAATATAATTTCCTTAATTATGTTGGTTTAATTTATTCTTCTCTTCTTTCTCTAGTTTCTTAAATGGGAAGATTACATTATGGGCTTGACATCTCTCTTTTTTTTCTAAGATAAGGCTTTAATGCTACCAGTTATCCTCTACTTACTACATTAGTTGCATCCTACCTACTTGGTATGTTTTATTTTTATTTTTGTCAAGTTAAAAGTATTTTCTAATTTACCGTACAACTTTCCTTTTTTATTTTTTTATAATATATACTTTATTTTAAGGTATATACTTTAATTTTGAAGTGTTTAGAAATTTTTCTATTATCTTTCTGTTACTGATTTCTAGTTCTGTGGCTAGAGAACATACTTTGAATTCTTCTAAATTTGTTAAGATTTGATTTATAATACATGATATGGTATATCTTGGTGAATGCTCTACTGAAAAGAATGCACTATTTTTTACTTTTAGAATCCTCAAACAGTTGTTCCATATAATATGCTCATGTTTTATAACTGCATTCATTGGGAAAGACAGGATGATGAACATTTACTTCATTTTACTCCAAATCAGAGTCTTCCATGTTACTTTGCCAAAATTTTATTTACTGATAAATATTGGATTCTGAAAGACTCTGCACAAGAATCTTATTTTCAACAAAGCCCTATAAACTCCATTAAAAGTTTGATTATGAAAATAATAACTTTTATATCTTAATAAATGCTATCCCTTTCCTGTAGAATGGAATAATTTTCCTGTTTTCTTCAAAGGCTTGTTTGTCATATCTTAGGTAAGCACAAAATGCAAGACGTACTCAGCCTTTTTGCAGTAATTTAGAGAAATTTAAAGGAAAGATCTGAATGGGATCAGGACAGGATCAGAACTCAAGGACGTGATTTGACCCTTCATGGGGATGGCCTTCTAGGGTGTATTGATTGGTGTGAATGTCCAAGTTTTCAAAACTGAATAGTCATCATTTTCAGTGGGCAGGTCATAGAGAAGGGTGTGCTTCAACCATGGCAGGAATGAAACAGGTTTAGCAGTTTCATGGTTACAGGAGGTTTATCTAGCAGACTTTAAGCCTTTACAGGGATACAAGGGTAGGCTTCTTTACAGGGACACAAGGTAGGCTTCTGGAAGAGTGTGCTGACAAGCACCAGGTCAAAGGCCCGAGTGGGTGTTTTCTGAGTATAGAGCCATATATGGGATCAGGAAACTGAGAAACAAATCCAGTCCTATGACCTGCTGAAATGCTGCTGTGTGGAAGGAAGACAGAACAAATGGTGATTCAGGGCAAATCCCACCCTTGGGGCAGCAAACCTAGTTTCAGCTTATCACCTGCTGGCTAGAGGAGAGCATCCAGTCATCAGAGTGATGCGGATAAGGAGATATTAATGATTACCAAGTCTAGAGAATGCAGACAATAAAAACTTTCATATGCAGAAACAGATGTTAAGGTGCTGAGCACATGTTAAGACCTATCTTTAATGTTGTTGATTACAGAGAACTAAGTACATTTTAAATCTTCTTGCTAAAGGATATAGGCATTAAAGTTGATATACTGGGAAACAATGGGATTAAATATGAGAGACCTACCAAAAGGCAAGGGAGGAACTACAGAGATTGTCATGCAGTAAATAAAATGGATAATGCGAGAAAACCTGGGAATATATTATACGTAGGTTCCAGTCATCGGAAGCAGCAGCAGGGTCTGTTAGGCCCCATCACAATAATCTCATTACCCAAGTGCCTTTGCTTTCTGACAGTTTCTCCATCTATGACCCAGCACTCTCTCACTCTAGGAAGCAAGAACCAAAAGTGTATTATCGTTTACAATAATAAAATTCTAAAGCTGAATACAAAACAATGCTAAATGACCCAGCATTCTCTAAGAGGTTTCAGATCAGCCCACCACCTCCCAGTAACATTGGTACCTGTAATCTGTCAAAAGTAGCCTGCTCAATCACATTTCCTTTTCAGTCTGCTTTATTCTAATTCATCCCAGGGCAGGACTGGCCCTGGATGTGTGTTTGCAGACAAGTTATCTTTGGATTAGCTTTGCCTTGGTGACCTGACTCTTTGCTGCCTTCAGCATAATCCAGTTACTCTTGGGAATATCAATTAAGGCCCTCAATCACACTAATTAGAATGTCTTCTAAATGTTGCCTTAGGAATTCAGCAGCTTATAAACAGGCAAATTGGGAAAATCTAGAGGTATGTGGGGTTTTTAAAATAGCCCACAGCAATTTGGGAGGCCGTAATGCTTTAGCACAGCTGAGTAGCAGGGCTGAAATTACTGTTCCCTGAATGCAGTGAAATCTCTAGTTGCTCTTTGCTGGCAAGTTTAATGCAGAATAATTAATTACATTTATTAATGACTTGGATGAGGATATAGGTTGCATGCTGATCAAGTCTGTAGATGTCACAAAGCTAGGAAGATAGTAATTATTGTGATAACAGACTCCGGAGCCAAAATGATTTCAAGACAAAATTTAGCAGCAATCTATCCAATACATGCCTGGCAGTGTTCCATAAAGTACAATTTGATGGTCATATTGCTCCTCTACTTAGAAAAGTTTGGTGATCCTCTATTTGCTGTTTAAGTTACATCCCATGCCCTTAGCCTGTTAATTGAGGCTTTGCCATTGATCCTACCACTGTCTACTTTCCAACAAAATCTTCTATAGTTCTTTTTCTAATACCTTGTGCTTGAGCAAAACTCAGTTCTTTATATACTATTTTCTCTTTGTGTTCTATGCTTTCACTACCTTTGAGCATCATTCTTCACGCAAAGTTTCTTTTACTCACATGCTCCTTTTGCCTCAAGTCTAAATATCCAAACTAGTTCAAATGCCACCTCTTCTTTTATTGTCTTGGCCGGAGTGACCCCTTTCCTTTGCTAATCTTCAATAACACTTATCTGTTCGCCTCTATTTTTATCACTTTTACTTTGTATTACAGAGTTTTTCTTGTGTGTGTGCACATTTTAAGTTTCTGTTAGACCCTGCCTCGTGCTAGAATTTCTGTCTGGTAACTCTTTTTATCTCCTAAGTGTCTCTGGATGTGTGTTCTATTCATAGTTGGTGATACTAAAGTGGCTTCCTTGGGGTTCATCTTTACTATGGAAAAGTGCCTTCAGAGAAAGCCCTACATCTTGCTCACTGAAGCTTCGTAGTTGTGTGACAGCAACTTGGAAACTCAAAGGATAAATCCTTGAGGGGATGGATATTTCCATTTTCCATGTTGTGCTTAGTTCATATTGCTTGCCTGTATCAAAACATCTCAGGTCCCCATGAATATATATACCCGCCCCCCATATATATACCTACTATATACCCTCCCCCCCCACACACAAATTAAAAAATTTGGAAAAGGAGGAGAAAATGCTCAATCCATATTTTGTTGAATAAATGAAAGACTGATGAAGAGAAAAAAGATTTTCCCAAAGCCATAATATAAGAGTTGGAAGGAGGAGGTGCTGGGAAGAAAACATCATTTAATTTATCAGATAAAACAATAGCTTCTGATATGATGAGCTCACCTGTGATTTGTGTCCAACCAGGCTAAAAAAGGAAGCATGAACCGAGATTTTTCGAGAGGTGTGGTTAAGAGAGGTGACGGGGGTTGGAAACTCGCATCATCTTTTAGGGTAGCCATGCAGCTTGGATTCCTTGTGTAGTTTATAACTTTCATTTTAATTTAATGCTCTTAAAACTGCCCCATTTTAAATGATATGATATGGGAACCTTATTTATCAAATACCTCTTTGATCTGTTTAAGCAGCTGCATACCTGTGGTTGTGAAACTTGTGGCATAGGCTATTTGAGATAATAGTCTTTGTAGTTAGCCCAATGTGGATATAATATCCCATCTTTGACTCTTAGTAGAAATATGATCTGGACAAGTTATCAAGACCTCTGCAGGCATTCTTATATGACTATTACATTCGACACACAAAGCAGAGTTCTTTCGCATAGATTTTCTGCATTGCCTTCAGGATTCAGTATTTATAACCCACAAAGGTTTTAGCAGTGGCCAGTTATGTATTGGATAGTAGGAAAAGAAATACTTCACAGAGCTGTCAAATCTCCAGGTCTTCTGCATTAAATATCACACAACCAAATGTAAGGGTATGGTTCACAGTAGTTGGCTGCTTCAGCTGGTTATCAATAGGAAGGCTAAATATCACAGAAATTAGACACCTGCCTCATCATTTCTCTCTTCCAGTGAGAAGAGGAGAGCAAGAGCAGCAGGGAGCTAGATTTATAATAGTTTTCTTTAATATAAATTTAGAGTGTGATGGATTGCAGAGAAAGTCTGAATCCAGGATTCCTAGACTTTCTATGTGTCACTAAAAGGGAAAAGTACCTGGACTGTAAAATATTCCCACTAGACATACACCAAGGGAATGCAAAGAGGGGTAAGAAGATTGAATTTATCTGTCAGAAATGTGAGTCCTGCTCAGAAAATCCAGATGAATTTTTTTAAGTAGGTAGTTATAGTTCAGTGAAAAAGAGATAGTTGTAGAGACAGACAGCTGGAGTTTGATCATAGCTCTACCACTATCTAGCCAAAGGATCTTCGTTATGTTATTTAAACTTGTCTCTGAAATTTCTTTATCTGCATGTAATGGAATTAAAAACAACAAAACAAAGCAAAAACAAAATAAAACCTGTTTTATTGGTTGGTTCTGACAATTAAATTTGTTAATCTATAAAATTCCTAGAATAATCCCTAGTCTATAGTAAGCATGCATGCATGCTAGTTATTGTCATTTAAGCACTTGAAAGTAATAAGTGATTCTCCTTACCTTTGTATTTATGTTTATAGGATGACGCTTCTGTGGTGTGTAATGAGTCTCTACTTTTATGGAATTCTGCAAAGTGATGCCTCAGGTAAGTGAATGGCTTTGGAAAATGTATTAAAATGCAAGTCATGCATAGAGTAATGAGTTCACTCTTCCTGAGAATGAATTTAAATGAGCATAATGTTATTTATGTCCATCGTCTTCTGTGGTAGCAAGTAATCATAAAGCAGAATAATAACAGGCTTTTGGTGATAGAACCACTGATGTCTCTAGTCTTCATGGGATAGAGTGCACAGGGGAAAGTGGTCTGCTGTGTTTAAATACAGGAATTTTCATCACCTTCACACTAAGCCAACTAGAATATTACTGTTTTCCCTTACCTCAGGTCCTATGGGGAAACAGTGGAAGTGATAATAGCACAATCTGTTTTTCAGATTTGAGCCAGTGGTGGAGAAGGCATCAGTGGTAATTATCCATTGAGATGTTAAATGAAATAATGATGAGTTTTTGCCATATTGTTTCTATATAAGAAAAAAAGACAATCTGTCTTTAGACTCATTCTTTCTTTGGATGCTACTTCATAAGAGGAGACAACTAAGACCTTTATTGAGATTAAAAACCAAACTCAGTCATCACGTGCTTGGATCACATGAAATTAGAGATGGAAGAGACTTGCTATTTGAAAATCCATCTTTTCAGATTGCCTCTTCTTCCCAGAATTATGCCCAGAATCACTCTCTACCTCTGACTATTAATCATTAAATTGCAGCCTACGTTTTTGGACTAATCAAATTCTTAGAAAGTTTTTAGTACCTAAAGCTGAAATTTGTCTCTTTGATTTTAGTACCTGAAACTGAAATTTGTCTCTTTCCAAATATTTGCTTGGTTCAACTGCAGGACTGAAAAAAAAAAATGATAAGAAACAAAACAACCAAAACCCCAAAGCAGTGATTCTCTAATTGTAATTAATGAAGGAAACCTAGAGGTCCTCATTTTATAAAGCTTCTCAAGTAAAATTCCCCTGAACACCATGAACCATACTTTCCATTGTTTTAATTCCTTTTCCATGTGAGAGGGCTTCTGAGAGGGCTTCCGATATGTTTAGTTACCAAATAACCATGACCTCAGTGTTCTGCAATATATGCCTTCAACTGTTTTTCATATGACGTGGATCTGAGCCCTCCTACCATCCTGATCATCTTTTCTGGGTAAATTTCAGTTTTTCTGAATGTGCCACATAAAGCTTTGTATTGGAAAGCAAAAATAGCACAAAGGAGTGCTGTAAGTAGGACAGAGTCAGCTCAAAGCTGAAAGGAGAGTTAACTTCTAGCCTTGTTGGCCCTTTGGAGCTGCACAGAGGAATGGCTGTGGATAACCGGGGCTGCTGTTCGGCTGGGATGCACTAGTAGACAGCTGCCTGGCTGTTGAGTCCAGCATTGATCCTGCTTGGTTGGGTGTCCCATGTGATAGGTGAATTTCTTGATTCCTGATTTTCAAATATGGTAAACATGATTCTTGATTTTAATTTGTTCTTCTTTGGTTTAGTTGTATGTTTGAATGTTATCTGCTCACAGAAGCTTCCTTGACCATCTTAACTAAAAATCCCAACCAGTCACCGTCCATCCCTCTATCCTGTTTTAGCTTTCTTTGTAACACTCACATTTCCTGATACTATAGTAACCTTCTTTCTCTTGTGTCCTCCTCCTCCCTCTGCATCTTCCTTCTCCTTTTCCTTCCTCGTTTTCTCCCCCGACTCCCAGTCCTTCCTCCTTTTCTGCCTTCCTGCTTTTGTTTCTCTCCATCCCTTTCCTTTCCTTCTTCCCTCTCTCTGTCTTGGATTTTAAGCTGCCTGAGGGCGGGAAGTTGTTCAGAAACTTTTCGTTATCCAAACACTGAGAATAATGATTGACACATAGACACATAATAGATGCTGAATATGTTGGTGTCAAATGGTTGAACACATGCCCCTTTACGTCCCTTCCCCTGCCCCTAAACTGTCTAGTTTTAGAATGGAACCTGTTTGGGTTCATGCCAGTAATTTATGGTGTGGTTTTTGTTCTTCCTCATCTTGAAAGAAGAGGGAGAGGTGACTGTGTTACCATTGCTGAAGGATCGTGAAGGTTCCAGAAGCTTGTGAGTGCTGGTGCCTTCCCAGCAGTCCTGGCCATGTTACTTTTTTGAATGACCTTTACTGTAATCCATCCAAGGAGTCCCCAGCCCCCACCTCAAGTGCTGTTGGTGAGAGCTTTCTACCCAGGAACTGTGACTCATAATTCTGCTAGGGGAAACTAACGTCTTGAATAAGATAAGTTCTCATACCAGCCACATTGCGTCACCATGAGAGCAGGAAACATGTTGTAATCCCCACAGCCCATCTGGCACATACTCATTTGCCTTCCTTATGAAGAGGTGTATTGTGTCTGACAGTGATGCCACTTCCTAGTTGGAGGGAGAGGAACAAAAAGGACATGTTGTTGACAAAAACGAAAAGAGCAACTGGCTCTGGGCTAGTGGGGGAAGAAAGAAAGCATCGCACATCTTGAGGGATCAACCAACCTCTCTGTGCATGAAGGTATTGCCTTTTACAGGGTATCTGTGGATACTGCCAGATTTGTTGCTCGTGAGACTCTCCTTGCGCTCAGGTTCCCGTCTCAATGGAAACACAGGTTGATGTCAGGGACAAAGGAGGAATGTTCTGAAAACCCTAAAGCACTCTACATGCATATCACAGTAGTAAGACATTTATTTTGTTGTTCTGAGTCCTTCCCTGTGGGCTTTTTAAGAGAAGCCTCAAATATAAAAAAAGAAACCATAACAGCGTCAGAATTTAGCGCCACGCAGTGTGTTTTCACATGCAGTGAACTGGCCTTTAAGTCACATGATTCTGACTTCAGATCAAGATTTTTCTGGTAGCAGTAATGTGATCGCCTTATCCTCTCAGGAATGGGGAAGCCACATTTTCATTGTAGGTGATGATAAAAGCAAATAATTTTTGTAAAGAGCTTTATTTCCCTTTAAGGAATTGAAGCTTAGATAATTATAATAGTGATTCTATAATTATAATGCGCTAGTTATGGTAATAATAATAAAGCTCCCTCTGCTTAAAAAAGCAGTTTGCATTGTACACATTCAGTGTCATTCTCACACCCAAACCATGGGGTAGTCAGAGCTGTTGTAACTACTTTTGTTGGATAAGACAAGTTACGATCAAAGTATTTAAATGTATTACTCGAAGTCACACAGCTATACTTAGTATGCCTGTGACTTCAACTCGTTTCTGGATTCCTGATGTCAATATTATTTTTACTAAATATACTTCAGTTGTGGTCTACCAGAGTATAAATGATTCAGAAAGAAGTTTAAGATCTAAGGGACCACAGGTAATCAATCATTTTGCAAACTGTTGAAGAACCACTCTGTGATAGGTCTCTATGCTTTTTAGGCAAAGAATATCTTATCATCATTATCCTACCCCTTCAAAGCACTTAAACATTTTCTTCAGGAGGAAAATGATTATAATCCAAAATTCAAACTCAATATTCCTATTTTTGCTTATTATAGTATTAAATATTTTTACGAATAAACTCAAAGAGGTTCTGTTAGTAAGACTTCGAAATGAACACATCGGCTCAGTACACGTCTCTTTTGCTGGGCTTCATTGGCAGCGTGTAAGGAAGCTGAACTGGTAAAAGCTGCCTTTGGAGTAGAAATAAATTTTGGAGCCTGTGATCCCAAGTTGAGGCGATAATAAAAATAGCACCATATAGAATATAATGAATTTTAAAAATATTACCATGGCAAAATTATTTGCTGCAAAAATCACATGAAAAGACAGTGCACTGCCTCCCCAAAATGCAGGCACACACACAGATCTTTGAAAAAGATTTTATTTCAACGTCCACAGTTGACTGTGTGCCAGATGCGGGGCTAGATTTCACACACATTATCAGTAACTTCACAGGAAGCATTGTATAGGGTAGGGGCTAGAGACTCTTCTACCTGTTTGATAGTTTGGGAAATGAAGCTCCAGGGTACAGGTAGCCCAGTTGCATGATGCTCATGATGGCATGCCTGATAGAGCTACGCTGCCTTGACTCCAGAAATAGTGCTCTTTTTTTTTTTTTTTTTTTAAATCCATTCTACACTGTGTTTCTTTAGGACTATGCTCTGTTAAGAGAAGTAAGATCCTCTGATTCCTTTTTCATTATAATTTACAAAATTTGTGGCGAATGGAAATAATCTATCAAATTATTGGGAGTGAATTACATAATGCAAAATAAATAGTAAAAATCACTGTGATTTCCTAGTAATTGAGAGATTTAAGTTCTGTTTTACTCTGTGAGTTGTTTGAGGACAGTAAAGAGGTCATTTCATCATTTTTTATCACTGTGTCTTTACTTATAAACCAAGCTAACCAACCAGACAACTAACAAACAGCAGTAGATCCCAATCAATTCCAGTTTCTTGTTTTTCATGAAGGAGCATTATGCATCATGGACACCTCCAGGGTATATTCCTCCTCTTAGTTACTTAAATTGCTTCTAATAACAATGTTAACAATAATTTCACTTTATTCTAAAGATCATGTGTTTGACCATTTTATATTGTACAATCCAGGGTTAGTAAGAGGAGTTACTTATTTAAGAGTAATACAGTAAGGTTTCAGAGATGGAAGAGAAAACAATTACCAAATAGAATACTGTGGGAGCAGAGAAAGTTACCCATCCTGTCAGGAGATCTTGGGGAAGACTTAATCGTTGTTCTTTCCTAGGAAGAAATGCATCTCTTTTTGGGAATGAAATAGTTCAGGGCAACTCAAAAGACAGTATGAAGGCATTTAAAAGCCAAGCTGGAAAGACAGGTTGGGAACAAATTTTGCAGGACAGGAATTACTTCACATGAAGAAAATGTCCACATTTAATGTATTTTGGTTATAGTTGGCTAAGTGTCTTTTTTAAATTCTGTCTTATTTTTGCAAGGACATACAATATTATTAATTCTATGTGATGGTTCTTTAGCTTCTGGTAAGAATTCAATTTGTTGCCAGCCCCAATGGCCTCATTTTATTTGAATATCCTTGCTTTAAAA